TTGGAGTTGGCAGGTAACGCCGCCCGTGACAACAAGAAGTCTCGTATCATCCCCAGACATTTGCAATTGGCCATCAGAAACGACGAGGAGTTGAACAAATTGTTGTCCGGTGTAACCATCGCTCAAGGTGGTGTGTTGCCCAACATCCAAGCCGTTCTGTTGCCCAAGAAGACCGAAAAGAAAGCTTAAAAAACATTCTTCCGACACTGCACAACTAAAAAGGCCCTTTTCAGGGCCACCAAATTTATGAACAGTAATTCGGTAGATGTGAGTAGCCTTTTGTGATTGTAAAAACAGCGAGCGTAATTTTATATATATCATACAAACTCATTTAAAACAATTAGATACCTTGAAATGCAGTTACTACTACCGACTTCCTACCATCGAACCGTTGTCACTTGATTGCCAATTATTCCACGAGAAAACAGTGTGTACGGCTGATGTTTATGAATTGTTTTGCCAAATAACCGCAAACACACATAACCGGTAAAATTATGGGTGGATACGTATATTTTGATTTCCAATGTGTGAATTTCGCGTGGTCATCAAAACTGTTCAGCCTTTTTAAGAACGACAATTTAATGTCAATCGAAATCTGTTACTTTCCCCCAGAAGGAAGTCCCATCCAAACTTCACGAGAGAAAATGTAGTGCAGTGTTCACCGTTAAAAATTTCATAGAACGTATTTAATTTCCATCGACACATAAATAATGTCAATTTTTCGATTCAACGAAACAAAATTGTATTTCAACAATATTGTAACAGCATTTTACTGTCGTTGGTGTATAAAGAAGTACAAATGCTCACATCTTTTGTCAATAGTCAATACTTTATTTAACTATAGGTAATCTAAACTATTATGAGTTCTGCAGTAGACAGACTTGGAGATTTGAGACTTCATAGGATATCTTAAGACTATAAAAAAATATTTATTCAAATCGGAAAAATATAATAAAATGAAGTGCTGCATTCCTTATGGTAAAACACTATACAAAAGTAGTACTTTTGGTATACCCAAAGCATCATTAGATTTGTGGGAAAATACACTAGGTATGAAATTGAATGAAAATGTTCTCATTTGTCAAAAGCATTTCAAGGAAGAGGATATTATTAGGACACGGGTATCTGGTACTGAGTATATTTAGTAGAATATTTTTTGGAACAATGTGGTTTATCGTATTTGTTAACTGTTAAGTTTTATTTTAAGACTAATAATTAATAAATATATATATATATTGGTTGTATTATAGCTTGCTTATTATGATAAAATAATAAAATATAATATATAACTTACATTATAATATTAATTTACTGTTAAACGTGTACAGTTTGAAAGCAGACTTCAATAAAATGGTTGGAAAATAATATAAAATCGTTTAATTAAATAGGCTAAAATAATTACAAAATTTAAAATTCAGCAGGCAGCCGGCAGCGACACGGTAAATTACTTTTCTCTTGCAGAGAGCGCTCAATGTAATTTCCAGCACCATGAAGAACTCAATTTGGTACTCACCTTATCATACGCCGATGGGCAGTATATCCTAAATTGTGATTGATATTAACAAAATTAATTAAAAGTGTATTGGTACAAATGTTTTGTGGAACAAACGTTCATCGGAACAGATGTATTGCGGAACAACGAGTAAAATTTAGATATTTTGGATAAGTTGGAACAAATATATTGCGGAACAAAAAGTAGCTAAAAAAAATTACTATCGTTCCAAAACACTTATGATCCAGGTTTTTGAGGAGCCACAAAATAATTGTTCTGAGAGATTTTTTTCCACAAAACATTTGTCCCGATAGACCTTAGTTCCGCAAAACATTTGTGAAAACGGACTTTTGTATCACAAAATACTTGTTCCACGTTTGAAACATGTATTTTGTGGAAAAGAAGTCCATCGGAACATGTGTGTGCGGAACAATATGCAAAGTCCTGTTTATTGTACGTATCGTAATAGTAATATATTTTATATCGTATGATTCGTATGTGCATTGTGCAACCCGCCCTTGGGGATTTTATATCTCGTTACGTTCGTCACGTTGGCTATGCTGATCCGGTCTCTCTATTATCAGCACAATGTTTGTTTACGTTTTATTGTTAAAAGTCGTCAAATTTAAAAGTGAAAATACATGAAGAAGTTTAACCATTTTTGAATTTTGATTTTCATATTTTTTATTTATAAAATATTGTAACATATTTTGTAATATTGTTTTGTATATTGTAATATTATTTTTTAATTATAAACTGCCTCGAAAATCCACTGTTTCATTGACTATTGACTCAATATTTAATATCATTAATCAATACTCAATATTCTTGCTACCGTTAAATTTTGTGTTCAATTATAAATTGTGAGTGTTCCGTATAGGCGTGTTAGATTAATTATAAGAAAAAATATATAAATGGACTGGTTTCGTCTTAAACATAATATGAATATTATGTAGTTAAGCACAACTTAATGTTTATGTTGCAGGTAGCTGGTGGACAGCTAAATTATTTGTTTTACGAATGTTCCTTAACATAAACTTTGTGTTTCTGTTCATTGGAAGATTGTAGTTCAATGGATTACGAGTTCAAAATTAAAACCGGTAATGAAAGAGCTAAAGTTGAAGAGCTGTTTGACTATGAAGGGTGTAAAGTTGGAAGAGGTACCTATGGTCATGTCTACAAGGCCAGAAGAAAAGATGGGTACGTGACATATTATGTTAATGTTGAATAAACTTTTGTATGACTTGAACATAATTTCACAATGATGAAAGATCCCAACTATCACAGAATCTAAATAAATATTATTGGTTTGATCATCAATGTTAAATACCTACTTAAATATATTTTACTCAAAAGGCTCATGGTTAGGTTTGTATCTGTTTATTTATTTTAAGCCACTGCTGTCAGCTATTGAGTTCTAGGTTTAAACTTGTGATGATTTAAGTTATTATTTTAATATTTAATACCTATCATGTGATTTAAGTACTTACATAACTTATTACTGATGTCAGTAAGAGTTGTTATATGTGATTTGAGTCACATATGTGTATAGTAATAAATTGCAATTTAAATATTTACTATTTACTTAAAAATGTTAAAGCATAATGGTATAGTATGTGAATTTTAGTTTGAAAATATTTGGTAATATATAACATTAGATTGCTAGTCTACATAATAGAAAATAATAATAAGTATTTTGGAGTTCTGAAATTGCTTGTCATTTTTTTTTTCAGGCTATCTTAAAAAGTTATTGAATATGCTTACTTTTTTAGGGACAACAGTAAAGACTTTGCTTTGAAGCAAATCGAAGGCACTGGATTATCAATGTCAGCATGTCGTGAAATTGCTGTTAGTTTTTATATTTATATTTTTATTTACTGATCTGTTGTAACTTAAATAATCATTTACATATTTTATTCTAGTTGCTACGCGAATTGAAGCATCCAAATGTAATAAATCTAATTAGAGTATTCTTGTCACACAACGATAGAAAAGTTTGGCTGCTCTTTGATTATGCAGAACATGATCTTTGGGTAAAAATTATTATAATTATCAAATAGTACATAATAGAAAATATTATACATTTTAATTTATTGTCATTATTTCTTATGTATTGTTAACAGAATAAGTGTAGACATTAATTTCTGTTTAAATCTTTATTGCTTATAAATATATATGATTAGCTGTTGATTAATTGTAGTGATCAACAAATAGTTAATATAAAATGTATAATTTAAATACCTCAATATCAATTATAACAGCACAAATGGTCCCATGTATTTGGCTATAGTTCTTAAATATAAATTTAGATTAATTTGAGTACTTGAGCAACACAGAGCAGCATTTTCAACTGAATCAATTAAAATTTGAAAAAAAAACTGAATAAATTAAACTAACATGGTTAGTTTATGAGCTAGCACTTTTGGGGAACAAATGACACATGTACAACATTTTTATTTTATATAGGTTGAAATTATTAAAAAATATATCACCGATGAAGGTGTATTATTTATACAAATATTGTAGTAAATGCAAAAAATATAAATACATGTATGTATGCAAGAAAATATTTTTAAAATACATGATATTAAAACAGTGTATAATTTCTGTAAAATGGTATACATTAACAGATATTGGCATTATTCAATATAATAAACATGTTATGTTTTATTTTTTAGGAAACATATTTTACAAACATTAATGAATGATCATAATAAATTTAAAATGTATCAATTACATTTAGTAATATTTAAACAGTTGCATTTAGTTAAAAACGAATTAACATTTTATTGTGTTCTAGCATATAATTAAGTTTCATAGAGCAGCCAAAGCAAATAAAAAACCAGTAATGGTTCCAAAAGGAATGGTTAAATCATTACTGTTTCAAATCCTTGATGGAATACACTATTTACATTCAAATTGGGTTTTACATAGAGATTTGGTAAATATATTTTAAATTTCATTAGAACATATTTATGATTGTTTTTATTCTTAGAAACCAGCTAATATCTTAGTAATGGGTGAAGGCCCTGAAAGAGGACGTGTAAAAATAGCTGACATGGGGTTTGCTCGACTATTCAATGCCCCATTAAAACCACTTGCTGATCTTGACCCAGTTGTAGTTACTTTTTGGTATCGTGCTCCTGAGCTGTTATTAGGGGCAAGACATTACACAAAAGCTATAGGTAACTATATTTTAAATCATACATTTTATTTTTTTTATCAAAATTCAATTGTTTTCAATTTTATATTCAAGTTCTAAAGCAGAATATTTTTAATAAAATGTTGACTATATTATTATTAACTATTAAACAAATAAACCTACAATTACTATTTTTAAGATAATGTTATATTAACTATACGGTTATTAACCATAGTAATTAAAATCAAGAATTAATTACTCACATGGAAGTATATTAAAATTTATTCTATATTAATCATAGTGTATTACTTATAATATTTTTTTTGTTAAATATTATTTAGATATTTGGGCAATTGGCTGTATATTTGCAGAATTACTAACGTCTGAGCCCATTTTTCATTGTCGCCAAGAAGATATCAAAACAAGTAATCCTTACCACCATGATCAATTAGATAGGTAAGTTAAAAGTTTAAAACTGCTTAATTTTATACATTTTTATAGAAAAATTGACTAAGGGGAAAGAACATACTTGTGTGAACACAATCTTTTTGTGTGTAATGCATATAAACGTGCTCAATTTAAAAAAATGAACATGAACATCATTTATTTGATTTGTTCATTGACCACTTAATTTCCATAATTTATTTATAACTTATAGTTTATATTTCAATCTACATATTTGTATTTGATTATACAATTTTATCTGACAAATGCATTGTATGTTTACTATAGGAACAATTTTTACTTTTATGTGAATGGATTTACTTATTTTTATTAATTTACAGTTAGTAGTAAAAATTAAGATTATATTCAATGATATTAATTATTAATATTATATTTTGAAAATTAAGTATTTCTCTAAAAAGTTATTTTTATAATTATTCATTAAAAAATGCTGCCATTTAATCATAAATATTTACAGATTTGTAAAAAAATCATCTGCACAAAGTATATAATTTCATGCATAATTATGAATCAGTTTAAATAATTTTGGAAAATTCTATTAATTTGCATTGATTTTCAACACTAGTACATAATATCAGTTATCATCAGACTGTTGAGCTGTATGGTTGTGCTGTACTTTACTCTGTGCGTTATCTTTTTCTAATTTATCAATTTCACTCTTCGCAATATTTAAATTGTTTCTAATTATTTTCATCATGACTGGAGTTGTTTGTAATATTTGTAATATTCAATTCGCAGAGCTGGATATTCCTGTCAAATGCGATAGTTGTACTTTATCTGCTCATCCTAAATGCACGGGACTCTCTTCAACTGAAGTTAAGTGTCTGGCTTTAAAAAATAGGTCTCTTAAATATTTTTGTGAAAGCTGTGATCAAGGTCTTAAAGAATTACCGGAATTGAAGCTGTTGATAAAAAAATTATTAGTTGAAGTGGAAAATTTAAAAAATATGAATTTTAATTCTGATTCCAGTAATACGTCATCTGTGCATTTTTCTAATGAATTTATTTTTAATGAAATTAATGAGCGTAATCGCTGCGCTAATAATTTATTATTCTATAATATTGAAGAATGTGATTCAAACCGGTTGGATGATCGTATTTCATTTGACCTGGCACAAATAAATAACGTCATTAAAACTATTTTGGTTGATTCGTCTATTATTCCTAAGAAAGTTATTCGCATCGGTCGTTCGCAATCGGGTAAATCACGTCCAATTAAAGTCATCTTTGATTCTAAGTCTGATGTATTTGATATTATTATGAATAAACGCAAGTTATCACAATGCAATTCATCACTATCATCGATTAACATAAGTACTGATCGGACCCTGTATCAAAGAGAGGCTATGAAGAAATTACGTGAAGAATTAAATCAACGTACTTCAAAAGGTGAAATGGATTTAACGATCAAGTTTGTTCATGGTACCCCTAATATTGTTAAAAAATCGGATGTCATCTCTACTCATTCTCAACCTCAACAATCTCAAAATTTTTTAAAATAAATGTTATGTATCAAAATGTAAGAGGTCTCAGGACGAAACTTCAATTTTTTCGTAATTCTGTTAATAATTTAAACTGTGATTTTTTATTTTTATCCGAAACTTGGTTAAATGATACTATTAATGATGTAGAACTTGGTATTATTAATTTCAATATTTTTAGAGCTGATAGAATTGGTACTCGTGTTTGTAGAGGAGGTGGTGTGTTGTTGGCCATCAGAGATAATTTGGAATGCAGACGTATTGTTATTGATAATATCGGTGGCATTGATCAGGTATTTGTATTAGTTAATTATAATAATGTTAAATTATTGTTAGGCTGTGTTTATATTCCTCCCAATACCCATAAAGATATATATATTAAACACTGTGAGTTAGTGGAGAATATTATTCTTGTTCATTCAATAGTGAATATACTTATTATTGGTGATTATAATGTTTCTGGTTTCTCTTGTACTGATTATACCCAAATTAATGATCCCAATTCGAATGTTATAATCAGTTCATTTATTAATTATTTGAATTTAAAACAAGTTAATAGTATCCTTAATGAGCGGTTTGATATCTTAGATTTAATTATGACTAATAATTGCGTTGATTGCATACGTCTAGGTAGTTCACTTACACCGTTAATTGACTCTTATCACCCACCATTGGATTTTATTTTATCCATTTCTACACCTGAATTTCTTTCCGAAACATCATGTCCAGTTGTTTTTAATTTTAATGCATGTAATTATAATGATGTTAATCTGTTTCTTAATAGCATTGATCTAATGTCTAATTTGATAAATCTTAATGTCGATTTAGCGGTTCTTAAACTAAATGAAATTATATCCCACTCGTTTGATATGTTTGTTCCTAAAATTAAATTAAATCATTATGATTCGCGTAGTTTATATCGGTCCAATCCTATTTTGAGAAATTTAATTAAACTAAAAAAACAGGCACATAAAAAATATAAAATTACTAATTCACATTCAGATTACATATTTTTTTCTAACTTACGTAGTAATTGTAAAAAATTGTCTTCTCAAATTCATGCAAATCATTTGTTAAAAATTGAAAATAATATTAATACCAACCCGAAGTCGTTTTGGAATTATATTAAATCTTTGAGATCTAATCGTTCTAATATTCCCCTTTCAGTATTTTTGGACAATAATTCTGCGAATAATATGAATGATACCATTGGGTTATTTGCTAAATATTTTTCATCAGTATACACAACTAGCACAACTAATATAACAGACGATTACAATAATGATTTATTTTATAATCAGTTTCATAATTTTAATTTGAATTCATTTATTATTCATGAACACGAAATTATAGATTATATTGGTTCACTTAATGACAAGGCAAGTATTGGACCCGATGGAATTCCTACAATTTTTTTGAAAATGTGTTGTCAAACTCTCGTTAAACCTTTGTATTATTTATTTAATTTGTCTCTGTCCAGTGGAACATTTCCTCTTTGTTGGAAAAAATCTTTTATTTCTCCTATACATAAATCAGGTGACAAACAAAATGTGAAAAACTATAGGCCAGTTTCGAAAATGTCAATTTTGCCAAAAATGTTTGAAGCAATTATCTCAAAAAAATTATCAAATTTACTGTGCAATAATATAAGCTTTTCTCAACATGGATTTGTACCAAAACATTCGATTCAAACTAATTTATTATTATATCATAATTATCTTGTAAAAGCTCTTGATCAAGGCTTCCAAGTGGATACTATTTATACGGACTTTCAAAAGGCGTTTGATAAGGTGAATCATAATTTACTATATCATAAATTAAAAAGTCTTGGTATAGGTGGGAACTTTTTACAATGGTTATTTTCGTATCTTTCTGATCGTACTCAAGTAGTTAAAATTATGTCTTACGTTTCTGATGACTATCCTGTCTTATCAGGTGTTCCTCAGGGCAGCCATTTAGGCCCTTTACTATTTTTAATTTTTATTAATGATCTCCCACTAGTCCTTGATGGTTCTATAAACATTTTATTATTTGCGGATGATGCGAAGATTTTCTGTACAGTTAATTCTTCAAGTGATGCTGAATCTCTTCAACATAATCTTAATAAATTTCATTTATGGAGTAAATTAAATTTATTACCATTAAATATTGATAAATGTCATACGATAACATTTACACGTAAAAAAAATCCTATCTTTTTTAACTATAATATTGAATTGTGTTCTCTCACTAGAGTAAATGTAATCAAAGATCTTGGTATTTATTTTGAAAGTGATCTTTCTTTTAAAACGAACCATAATATGATAATTAATAAATCGTTTAAGATGTTAGGCTTTATTAATAGAAATACTAAAGATTTTAAAAATCCGTTATGCTTAAAAACCTTGTATACATCTTTAGTTAGATCCAATCTTGATTTCGGCTCCGTAATCTGGTCATGCAAATACTTGACATATATAAATGATTTGGACAATGTACAATATAAATTTTTAAAAAGGATTTCATACTTGTCAAATATTCCATTATCTAGGGACTCTCTCCATCTAACTCAAGATTATATTGGCCTTGTTTCTCTTTCACTTAGACGAAAATTAACTGATATTATGTTTGTCTATGATCTTATTAATTTCAATATTGTGTGTCCAGAATTGTTGTCTGAAATTAGCTTTCGAATTCCATATCTTATTACACGTAATTCAGATTTATTTTTAGTCCCTCATTATAAAACGAATAGTGGTACCAATTCTTTTTTCCCTCGAGCTTTAATTTTAGCTAATAAAATTTGTATACATTTAGATATATTTTTTCTCTCACGCAATTGTTTTAAATCTAAATCTATGTTATTATTAAAAAATATTGATTGATAAATNAAAAAAAAAAAAAAAAAAAAAATGTTTATAATGTAACTATAATTTTATATATTAATTATTACTTTTATTTCAGAGTTATTTTTATATTATTTTATCTGTTTTTGTTAGGTTTTACTACACTTATTTAGTTTTTATCTGATATGTTTTCTTTATATAATTTGTAAAAGGGTATATACCCGTTGATATACAACATAAATAAAAATAAATAAATAATAGCATTTGATTAAAATAATAACATTTTTAACTATGACAAGTTTTTAATAGTGTTTTAATTATCGTATATGTCTATATCATATAGTGGTATGCCATTATTACATTCGCAGTATATTTGATATCACAACTATCATATCATCTTAAGAGGACATTATACGGACATTTGTTGTTTGGGTCTTACAAGTGGGTAACATGTCAAATTGTACGCTCAACAGATCACGTTTAGCTCAGTAAGTTTAAAAATTAGAGTGAATTACCTCTTATAAAATTTAGAGGTAAGACTATTATTTAAGGCATCTTGAGGGCTTTTTTAATACTTTAATTTTAAAATACTCAGAACTCGCCTTAAAATTAAAATATAATAATAAACCCATTAGATGTCCTAGATAATAATATTCCCTTTAATTATATTCATATTCACTCAAATTTTTAAACTAACAAAGATAAATCTGATCTACTGAGAGTAGAATTTGCTATGTTACCCACTTGTAAGATAGAGACAGCAAATTTCCTTATAATATCCTCTAACATATACACCTATGCCTTGTTTTAGAATTTTTAATGTAATGGGCTTTCCTCAAGAGAAAGATTGGGAAGACATAAAAAAGATGCCAGAACATCAAACTTTAATGAAAGATTTCAAACGATCAAAGTAACTATGAAAGTTATTAATAATTTAACATAAAATATTTTAATGTTTAAATGTAATAACTACTAATAAGTATTGATTATAAACATTACAGACAGCTCACTGAGCAGTTCTTTGGTGGCTTAAAATTATTACTCTTGATAGAGGGCGAGACCACAAAACTATTAGCGATTACAATGGTATTTTGCATTACTACCCACAAGCGCGTTGGTATCGCTAGTATTTTAGTCGTCTCACCATCTACTGGAATTTATTATTTTATGTCAGGGAAAAACCGTTTAGTGAGCTATCTATACAATATTTATAATCAATGGCTAAGCTATATTAATTAACTTATTATATTAAACTATTTTAGTTATTCAAATTGTTCTCTGGTAAAGTATATGGACCGTCATAAAATAAAACCAGATAGTAAAGCATTTCATTTGGTAAGTAATATGGTACATTATAAACTTGATCATTACCAAAAAAAATAATGTTTCCATGTTGATTTTGTTTTAGCTACAAAAATTATTACTGATGGATCCAAACAAAAGAATTACTTCGGAACAGGCTAAACAAGATTCATATTTTCAAGAAGATCCCACGCCCACCTCAGAGTATTTAATTACTTATATTTATGAAAATTAAGTAAAAATGTATTCTACTAATGTATTTTTCTTAGTGTTTTTGCTGGATGTCCAATACCATATCCTAAACGAGAATTTTTAACTGATGATGATCAAGATGATAAAGACAAACGACAGCAAGCTACCAATGTATGTTGTTTTTTTTTATCATTGATAAATAGTACATTTTGGTTAATGTTTTTTATATCAAACTATAGTTACAAAAAGTATTTAGAAGTATTTTAATGACTGCAATATATCGTTCTAAAAATAGTACAATTTATATTATTTGGAAATTAAAATATAGTTAAAAGCCAAACGAATATTTAATTAATTGATCTCTCGCATAGAAAATATTTAAAATAACAATGATTCACACTGTAAAGCCAAAGTAGAATAAAATGATTAATATTTGGGTGTGTTGATATAATGTTAAGTAATAAAATTGGAAATTATTTTCCAAGGATACATTTTTTCGTTACACCTTAAATTAGAAACTACTTTGCTGTCATAACTTATAATTCTTAAGAGAATGTCTTACTCATATTTTTTGTCCCCGAATTACAAATATATATACGTATAAATATAGTATTGTTAATATGCCTTCAAATTAATATCATTGTAAATATTGGAGTAAAGTGACTTACTATGATAACATACAGATATTTTTATCTTCAACATTAAAAATAATAATTCTGTAGGTATTGATTGAGTTAAACATTATTGACTGTATGATGCATATGTAAAATGGTAACAACAAATATGAATGTCACATGATCTTGAGAGTTATAGGATATGACATTGAAATAGATTGTCGGTATCTTACACGCATTTAGTTTGTAGTATAGTACAACTGCTCTCTGTACTTCATTAATTTTTATTATACCAAAAAATAATAATTAATAATTACATTGTTTGTTACAAAAACAATGTTAGTGCCATGTGATTTGTAGCTTGATAGTAGATTTTTTAGATTCTAAGTTTATTTTAAGTGTTTTAGTTATTTTTTTTTTTTAATTTTAGTCATTTTATTTGAAAAAAAAAATTCTATAAAATAACCTTTGTCTATAATAAATTTATGTAGTATACTACAATAGTAGCATAATTTGATCATGTTTGTGGAAGAGAGTGGGGTTGTACATTTTACCTATTATGCTTCCCACCTCCCAAAAAAATTGTATATAGGGTGAATTTTGAAGCATACTCACTCTATACTAAATAGCCATATTCCCATATTCCTAATATTTTTTGTACCACTTAAGGATGATCCTGTAACAATACATAAACTTCTGTTTTCAAATAGAAATACCTTTCTTTCAATTTTAATTATTTAGTAAATTTTTTTTTTGAGAATTTTGGTGTTACTAAATCAAAATTAGACGAGTATATTTAGCTGTATAACTTAGTGTACAAAAGATAATACGTCTTTGGTTAAGGTTTCAAGTAGAAATGGGGGCTTTGCTGATTTGAAAATGTTAGAAATTACTATTGATCTATCAATTTAAATAATTTGTAAAAGGATCCAAGTTTAGTAAATAGTAAATACTACATCCAATATTACATATAGTTTATGTTCTTGTAAAATAATTTTAAGGGATTCTTATTCTTATAGTGTATGCATTTTAATAACTTAAAAATGACTCATTAGAATTTCCAATTAGAAACATCAATAGTTTCAAGTTAAAAAAGAATTATTTTTCAAATAATCAGGGCTCTTAAAAACGAATTGCCGATCTAGGGTTACGAGTCCAGATTTTTGTATTTTTTAAATTGTTGTATCTTAGTTAGCTACAGTTTTAATTTAACCAAAGAATCATTAGACAGCATGGGAGATTAAAATTTAATGAATTTGGTGAATTCATCTTCTTCTTTTTCAGTAAGTTCATGTTGAAAAATTTAACGTTCAAATGTCGAATCCTATAGAAAGGTTTAATCAGCCATTTAATTAACTACTTAAAAAGTTAAAAATCATCAATTTAAAATGCGGGAAATTCAATAGTTTTGTACCACAAACACTATAATATGTATTTCAACAAATTTGGGCAATACTTCAATAGTAATAAGTGTTTATTACAAAGTAATTTAATCTTAGTTATGTACTTTGTGTACTAGCTATGCTATGTTCACGTTTAGAAGCGATCTCAGTAGCCGACTTCTGTACATGGGTGTGGCTTTGTACCGCAATGCTAGCCTAACGTGCCTATATGTGGGAGAAGGGTCTGGCTGTCACTGACAAAAACTGGTCGCCGCCTGGATCGCTTCTTAACGTGAACAGAGTATAGCTTAAGGGATTTAGTTTTTTTGTGTTATTTCTATTAAATATGCTATAATGCTATAGTACTTATAAATAATAATATTTATAGTTAAATAAGTATATAAATGTGTTTGCCAATTTAAAAAATAAAAAGTCATGGGGCGTCAAATCTCCTCTCCGTCTTATGTCACTGAGTCACAATATAATATTTTGATTCATGTATTTATAATAAGTAAAGTACATAGAGCAGTTACTCCTTACTACATGTGAACTAAATATAACTACTGATGATCTTTCTTAATCATATTCTTTGGTTTATTATGTGGTAGACTAAAAAATAATAATAAAAGTGTTGTTTCTTATTTATTTAAAAGACCATAAAATAGTTTAAAAAAAATTATTCTGTATTATTAACAAGTATCTAATAACTCTATGTAGGTGCCTTTGTAATATGATATTCATAAATACCCACCACAAGAATCAAAATACTACAATTTTTTAAGAAAATAATTAAATTGAAATTTGAAAGCGATATTTTAGCATTACCTTGACTTTGAGATAGTCATCATTGATTTTTATTTATAAACACACATAATAAAGTATATATTATTATACTACCCATTGAATGCACATTATTATGTGTGATTACAATTTTTTTCAATTCCATGGTTTTTTGCGTATTTAAATGCTCTTTGATTTTTCTATTGCTTTACAAACTTTACTTCTTTTAACAAATACATATTTATAAATCATCATATTAATATATATTAACTGCATGCTCTTCAATAATTTTATGACTTAAATATTATTTTGCTAGATTTTTGCATATGATCGTGGACGTTACTTAATCGATAGTTCTAACACTCCCATTTATAATAAGAACAATAGTATCACGCCTAGATTTGACAGTATTACCCAGGACCATCGTAATAGCTTAACCAACAACGCTTATGTTAATAGTTTGCACAACTGGCATGGCTTAAGTCACACTACGCTAGAGGTAATACACATTCAGAATTAAGTTTTTAATATTGATGGGTTTTAAAATTGTTATATTTAATACAAGTACAACTGTACTTACTAGATTTACAATGTCTTATAATAGATTTATGCTTATATAGTTATTTTTTGATATCATTTGTTGTGTAGTATTTATTGATTGTCTTATATTTATTGGTTTGCGGTGATAATTATTTATTAATTTTTTTAATTAAAAAACTCATTCTTCAAATATTACTCTAGTTGTGATGGATCATATTTTTGGTTTTTATAAAAAAATACTATTACAAGAAGTAGGTAGACACATTTGTAACAGTTTACTGTTTATTTTTAAACATTTAGTATAGTTTAATATTATGCTATTAAATGTAGTTATATATTATTATCTTTTATTCTTGAATATTTTTTTTGTAGTATGATTGATTATTTTATATAGCTTTATTGTAAATACATTTTAACAAATTATGATATCTACTCATGTTCTTAAATTAAAATTATCTGTGTAGGTATTAACTTGGGCATTTGTATAGGCATGAATTAGTTATTACTAAAATCAGATTAAATAAAATGAATCAAATAATTCTGAAATTTAAAACTTGTACTAAAATTGAATTCATATTTAATCATAACATTTGTATTATCTAATTAATTAGATAGAATAATTAGTGGTGTTATATTTTTATTATATACAATAATTTCAAACCATTGGGATCCTAGACATATTTAAGTTTCTTTTCAATTATTAAAAATACTCAAGTGTATAGAAAGTATCCAAGTATCCAGGGGAGTATTTTTAAAAAATATTTAGCTTTTTAGTTTTGTAAGTGTCAATGTTCAATTTAATTTATTATTTTACTGTATCATAAATTGTAATTATTAGGGTGCACATTCTGATCAGTCAGGCAGTCATCATAGTCATCAGCAACAACATGCTGCTAATCAAAAACGCATGCGCATGAATGGGCTTGGCCAACATCCTAGTGTCAACCCAGGAACAGTGATGCCACCTACCGTTCAACAACAGCAGCAGCAGCAGCAGCAGCAGCAACAACAACAACAGCAACAACAACAACAACAACAGCAGCAACAACAACAACAACTACAACAACAACAACAACAAGTTCAACAGCAGCAACAACAAGTACAGCAACAACAATCTCAACATCCACAGCAGCAGCAACAGCAACCACAACAACAGCAGCAACAACCACAACACCCACAACAACAACAGCAACAACAACACCAACAACCACAACAACAGCACCAACAACCACAACAACAACACCAACAACCACAACAACAGCACCAACAAGACTTCCATCATGTGCCTCAACATCAACAAATGATGTACTCTCAAGTCAATCCCAATGGGCCTGGCCCCAATTATTCACAGAGGTTTTGATTAAATCGATATCAATTTCAATTAACTGATGAATTGTATTGCTTACTTACTTTTATCAAGTGCATATGAACTAAGTTCAACAGCACACCAAAATATGTTTTGACTAAAGAATTTATTTTGAGGTTTCATATTTTTAGTACAAAAATTAAAAAAATTAAAATATGTACATCCATTGAAGTTCAAATTGTTTCATGTTTTTTTTTTAATTATGATTAACTAAAATTTGAATTCACGTGTTATACCATACCCATATTCATAAATTATTTTACTTTTAAATCACAGATATTTGTTGTCTTTTAGCCTCAAAGATTTTTAAAGCTATTGTGAAAATGAATTATTAATTAATATATATATATATAATATATATTATATGTACATATATAATATACTGTATAATAAATTTGACACTACGGTGCCTAAGTAAATTTTGTCTTATATGGTAATTATTAATAATTCATCCCTGAACCCCATCATACCTTACCCTTTTCAGACCCTCTTCAATTTACCTTTTTCTTTAAATCACTAAAAGAAAACATTTACTTATTGTGGTTGTAAAAAAATGAGTATAGCGTACTAATAATGTGTACTTAAGTTGTATTGTGTATTAACACTAAACTTCTAACTTATATTTTATATATACTGGTGATACATAACACTAAATACTAAATCTCAGTAAGTTACTTTTATAAAATCGAAGATACAATCATTAAAATGGTTTATGGTCTGAATTTTTGTAATGGTTAATGCCTAATGGGTTCAAGGTTCTCGCTAAATAACAAAGTCCAGGCTAGTTAGTGATAATTTTTAACTGAGTTAAGTTAATCCTAATCTTTTTTTAAACTTAGTTAAGTTAAAAGTTAACTGATAACTTATAATTAATTTATTAACTTAATTAAGTAATTAATTTTTTTTTTTAAATTTAAATTATAAGCATCTAGTTATATGGTTTAAAATAATAAAAAGTAAATGTTTATGCAATATACATCATCAATAACTATTTTATTTTATTTATTATTTAATTATTTATAAATTAACGAAATTGGATTTGATTAAAAGTTACTCGTTATTTATGAAATTTATATCAATAAAAATCAGCATATTATTGCTATATGAGATAATTTCACCTTGAAGCTTGGTGATATACATATATTATATTCTTTTTTTGCGATTTCACCTTTTAGAGAGCCGGGTGTGGAAAATGGGTAATAACTAATAAGTAATAACTCATTACTAATGACTAATGAGCAATGTACTTTTTATGTTGAATGGCACAATCGTATTGTTTATTTTACATATATGGTAAATCATCGATACATTTAAAAATATATATAATTATTATTCGTAGTTTATAGTATTTAGGTAGGTACGCATATAGCGTCTTCTTAATTTATTATATTATTTCAGTATTTTAGTTGTTAAATTGTATATTTTAGTTGTGTTTGGCCGGTAAAAATGACGAAGTGTAGCTGAAGCATTTTTTCTTTATTATACTATTAGGTGTTAAAATCTAACCGGAAATAGAACCGGATGGCGAAGACAGTGGCGGCAACCACCACGACGATGATTTAAATTATTGAGATACCGTGGATACTATAACGGTATTTATAGCATCATTATTATTATTATTATTCAAACGGTAAATATTATGTACCTATATATATATATACACATATATATTATGCACATTTTTCGACGAAATTAGACGATTGACCACTTCGTGTAATGCATCCTCTCTCGACGATCGCACGCTCCGCCCCCCACGCCTGACAGACGCCTCGGGGTCGTCTGGTCTAAAATGAATGCCTGGCTGGAAAAGGGGGTCACACCAGCCACAAACGTCCTTGAGTCAATTGATCGAATCCCTTTTTTCCTCACCTTAGCGACAGTGCTTTTTTTCTACCCTCACTGCACCCTCTCCACCACTCCACTCGGTAAGACTGTTGTAACGCTCTTTCGCTCTTGCTCTTTTTCACCTCGTGGTGCTTCCACACTCGTAGAAGACAATGTACAAAAATAGCGGATCGCCAATCATATTTTCAACTGTACCTAATTAATTTATGATACAGGCATTAGTGCATTACCATCAGCTGGGTACGTTTTGAAGAGCTACGATTATGGTAATACAGGAATAAGCATGGGATGAAATCTAATAAATTATGCGGGTGGTGATGGAGAGGGGCTAATTTTTTAAAATACCTAAATATAAAGTACGATTTTTTCTCGCTTCATGGGAATAAATTTGTATTGCAATACATTATTTCTAATTCTAACCATATAATATTACAAAAATACATAGTTTTTTTAATGTCTGTGTCTTATAGTTTAGTTTTAGTATCCTTGATGGATTATTCTGCTTTTAAAAAAATGACGGCAGGCAGTGACTATTCATGGAAATTGAGGAATTTTTGTTAAGAAAATATCTTGGCTAATATTTTATGGACTATTTATATTTTATTATTATAAATATTATAATATTATCATGTGTCATGTGTGAATCACTGGTAAGTAGTAAGTGCCTACCTATAATATTTGGAATAATTATATAAAACTACAGTTTATAATATTATGTAAACACTTGTATAGTCTATAATATACGTGATCGAACCACAGTCTCGATTATTATTATTTATTGGTTTACTGTATTATTATTAATTATACGGTTACGTAAAATGTGGATTATTTATGATCGCAATTATACTGTCATAAAATTAGTTACCTGTACTAATTACTAATTAATTCAATCTTCTGTGTAAAAAGTACATGATATCGTATGACTACATACCGTATAAAAACATAAATTAAATTTAACTTAAGGTAGTCACTGTATCGTGGAACAACATGTTATGAAATAATATATTATTGGAAAATGTTGATTTTTTATTATTAGATGCCTCAACTTCACCGCGATAGGAGGATATCGTCTGCAGTCGTGGGCTGGGCCATTATAATATTGTATAATATTTCGCTAATGCGATTATCTGAAAGGACAATTAATTATTATTATTATTATTACTTATTATTACTAAATTTTCAGAGTTCGCCTCGTCTAACTGACTGTTCTCGGATACAATTTTTCCGATATTTTCTCTGATAGCTTCCAACGGGGGGTTCTCATAACGTAACATTATTTTATGTATAGGTAGGCTATCAGGCTACAGTTAACGTTTGGCAACAGTTTCGTGACTACAGTAGAATTACTATATTCTGATAAGCCGTACATTTATATTTTTTATTTTTGTGCTGAAACAAATAATATTTTTAAAAACTAATACTTACCTATCTATATACAGATGGTTGATGGATGTTATAATAATACTACCTATTTCATATTTGACACGATATAATATAGAAATCGTAAATTAAATTAGGTACCTATTGTCTAACATATTAAACACAATTGCCGTTTAGAAAACATATTCATGTATTAATATTTAATAATAATACCCAGACCAGTGCGCGATACAATATGAATATTGTTTGCCAGTAAGTTGCCTGCATAATAATTATTACTAATTATTATCGTCTGTCGATCTTCTACGTACCCAAATATTTTATTATACTATATTATATCTGTTGATTGTGTGCACCTTACACGCGTTGCATTGTATTATAATAATGTTGTTTGAACGATAATTAATATAATTATTGTGTAAATGTGTATAAACGGATCATTACATCATATTATCTTCTCTTCAAGTGTCGCCCGGCGTATAATAATACAGAGTGCGGCATTGTAATGGACTCCCATATTTCAAATAATCATTAGCGCGTAATCAAACTGATTAGACTAATGAGGTTTATTTCTCATGATTATGTTATTAATAAGGTTTTTAGTCGTCACCATGCCATGGTTCGGTGAACAACGTGGTTTCGTTATCTAGGCATTTTTTTAAAACGCCGAATATGTGACTGCAACAGACAGCATTTCGATATTTCGCACTCAGTTTGGTTTGAATCCAAACGAAAGTGTTCCTGATCGGAAAACGATTTTTAATTTGGTATGAAACTTAAAATATACCCAGAACAATTGAAGAACTAAATGAGGATATTCGTCAAGAAATTTAGTAAATTCCATTCGATCGATATACTGACAAGAGTGATAGAAAATTTTCGAGAACGGCTCCATATGTGCGTCGGTTGTCAAGGCGATCATTTAGGTGATAAAATTTTTAAAAAATAATTTGAAAAAAACCTAATATAATATAGTTTTTAAAAATAAAATGTTTTTTTTCTATATCTTGTATAGTTTTTTTTTAATTCACCTCAGAAATGTGGGAGTCCATTATGCCACACCCTGTACAATACGTAGTATATTGTGTGGCAAAGGCAGGAAGTGAGCAATTTCAGTCGTGGCTGAGGTTTGCGTCACCAGTGCTGTAGTCGTAATATGTATCTACTATCTAGATACATGTGTACCATGTCGGTATGTCACAATTATAATTTTCATTAGACTTTTTTAAACACAGAGAATTCAACTAAAGAAAACATCTGCAAGTATATATACATTATACATACTAATAATAACTAATAATACGTTCTATGAAAGGGGGGGTTTACTTTAGAATTATGACACTGTAGTATCTAGATAATTTTTCGTATCTTGTATTTATTTATATAATTTTATTTATTCTTCAAGAAGATAATGGTATCCACTGAACATGTTCGTGTGGAGACCAATAAATTCACAATTTAAAATATAAATATAATTACTTTATATAAAATAATTTAAATAAATAATAACTACAATTTACAATACTCATTTTTCACAAAACTAAAATATCTGTAGATAGGTTCTTAAAAAAAAGAAAACTGTATTAGACGCAAGATAAAAGTATTTGAAATAATTTTTAAGATATAATTATTACTGTATTTCTTACCACTTTTCCGCCCCATTACATATTTTGGGATTTCAATTTGACCACCCATCGCGTAGGTAACGAGATTCCCACTTTGTACGAAAAGAGGTAATTTTGAACCCTACAACCAGCATCAAAAATTAGACTTTCATGTAGGTATGATATCACCAACTTCCCACATTCATTAGGTAATGATTTACAATCAATACTTTCATCTCACTGCTCACCAACTCAATGGTACCTGTATATGATTTCCGAGTTGGGTACAATAATGAAGTATAGGAACGTATACTTACCTAAACAAGTATAAGTGTGTGTATACTTAAGTGTTATCTCTAACAAAACAAAAATAATGGCTCAGCCCAAAGGGCTGATTTAAGGGCTATTTCAAGTGCCCCAATAGTATGTATAATACACTTAAGATGGCGATATCTTATAAATAGAAAAATTAATGTACATATAATTATGTACATTAAAAATAACTAAATATAAATTACAAGTTTATTGATATTATAGTGGTGGATTTATATACATTTGAAGCCGCTATTAGGAACACTTTTGGACCAAGGCGAAGGGTGTCAATTAACAAATTCATTCTAATAAGTGATTGGTTTTATTTGTTATGAAGAAAGTACTTATGAAAAAAAAAATTATGTCATGTAAAGTAATATGTATCTGTTGATATCATTTTTCCCCGCCCATACTGGC